CATTATTGGAGAGGCAATGAGAACCAAGCTCCCTGTAACAGCAATCCAACAGAGAAAGGAAGATCTTTTTAAGAAATGTGTTGGGGCCCAGAGGGGTGGATCATTAGCAGAGTATGTGCTTAGCATGTGTGAGGCCTTGGGTTCAATCCCCAGAACTTAAAAAAAAAAAAAAGTAAATGAGAAACAGAGCTGGAATGACTGGGTGTCAATATAGAAAAGAATGACTCTCTACCCCTACCTCACACCTTACACAAAATCTCATTCAAGAAGGATCATAGACATGAACATAAAAGCTAAAACAATAAAACCTCTAGGAAAAAACATAGGAGAATATCTTTGTGACTCAGGCACATAAAGGTTCCTTGGACAAAGAAAGCAATAAATTTTAAGTTAAACTTCATGAAAACTAAAAACTTCTATTCATTTAACATATATTTAAAGGAAAAAAAGATGAGACACAGGGAAAAATATTTTGTAAGACATACATTTGACAAAGAACTGATATCTAGATTACGTAAAGAACTCCTTAACTCAATATAAAAAAGACAGTAAATATGACTTCTTTCCTTCTTCCTTCCTTCTTGTTATCCTGGGGATGAACCCAGGGCCTCAGGAATGTTAGGCAAGCACTCTGCTACTGAGCTACATGCCTCTGGGTAAGGATCTTTTAATCTAGAACAGTTGCCTCACCCTTTTAAAAATGATGTTGAATATTCCACATTTTTTTTTTTTTTTGGTCTGACAGTTTCCTTGCAGTGCTTCTTAGCATTATGTTTGTTTATCCCCCATACTTTCTCCAACTGGAAGGGAGGTCTACAGCCTTGATTAGCAGTTAAACATTTTATGGCAAGAACACCTCCCAGTTAATATATATTTCAGATGATATCATGTGAAGAGGCCTCTAAGGTCAGATTGTTCCCACTATTATTTATTTATTTTAAAACATCTTTATTGTCCTCTTTTCTATGTCCACCCAGTCACACCGGCATTCAATCAGCCAGACCATCTCTGCTGACCTGGGTTCTGGGCTAGGATAATGACCCCTTGGATGCCCTTGAGGCCTGGACCTCCACAGTGCATGATTCCAGGAAATGCCATCCATCTGGCCATCTGCTGGTGTTGTGCAGTTCCCGGACAAGCTCCTGCGTGCGAGATTGAGTTGAGCTTCCCTCTTCCCTTTCTCCCTTCTTTCTTCTCTACTTCTCTTCCTTCTTCCTGTCCCTTCTCTTGAGAATCCACTCTTGAGATCAAGCTTGTAGTCACTGTGATTAGACCTGGCTCTCTGGTACATTCTGGTCCTTCTGGAAGCATACCTGAAGTTCATTATTCTTGGCCTGCCCAGAGTGAGAAATCTTTCACGCGAGGGTACCCAGCAGCAAATGTCTGCTGCTTTTGTACTTTGTTTAGGCTGATAAAGGCTAGGAACCCAGAACCTTCCATTATGTACAACTCTCTAGAGAGTATGCTGCTCAGTCAGCGCTGATGTGGCCAAGCCACTCCCAGTCTGGTGTAAGCCTCCCTCCCCCCTAGACCCTGGGGCCACTCTCCACACCCCGGGGACCTGTGGGTGTTCACTGTAAAAGCCTCTGTGAACCAGGTGATGGCTTCCTAGCCTACCTTTGTGGTTGTCTGAGGGTTTCCTCCAAGTGCCCCTTGGCATCATTTCTTCCAGTCCCAGGCAGTTCATTGAGTGTTCCTAGCCAACCCCCACTGAGCGGGGCTCCCAGTTCATGCTCTTAGGGCTTCTGAGCCACCTGTGGAAGTCATTGCTCATCTCAGGACACTGTCACAGCAGGACTATCACCAGGAGTAGCATGGCACCGGGATGCCAGGGTGAGCCTTCTCTCCCTTCCTGACACTTGGTCCCCAGGGCGATGTTTGATGGCGGTGGCTGAGGGGTTGCATTCTGCTCCCCTTGCAGCAATTTCACCATTGGATTGAAATGTGCATTGTCCTTGGACTTTCTCTGCCACCCACTCTACGTTCTCTGGATTCTCTGGAATTACCTGACTTTGCCTGGCTGCCCAGCCTTGGGTCACGTATTAGCTGGACATATATTTGGCTGGGAGCAAAAGAGACCAAATTAATGTGGGCTTAAAACAGGAGACTTGGTTTCTTTGTACAAGTTCAAATCCATATGAGGCTGTGCTCCATGAAGACATCAGCAAGGCCAGGGTTCTGTCTTTTTATTCTACCGTCCCTGGGCTAGTGTCCCTGTTGGCACCTGGGGATGGCATTTCAGCTGGTAGAGGGAGGAAAGGGAAAGTGAAAGGCGAGCCCTTGCCATTTAAGAGTACAATCATCTCCCTTATCTGCAATTTCATTCTTCCAGGTTTCAGTTACCCATGGTCAACTGTGGGCCAAAAATACTACATGGAAAATCCCAATTCATCAGTTTAACATAATTTTCAATAAAGCATATTATTATAATTGTTTAAGTTTATTAGAAGTTATTGTTGTTAATCTCTTGCTCTGCCTTACTTATTTATTTATTTTGTAGCAATAGAGATTGAACCCAGGGGCATTCTACTCTAAGCCACATCCCTACTCTCTTTCATTATTTATTTTGACCCAAGATCTTGCTAATTTGCTGAGGCTGGCCTCGAACTTGTTGTCTTTCGGTCTCAGCCTCTTAAGTCCCTGGGATAATAGGAATGTACCACCACACCCAGCTTATTCTGCCTAATTTTAAACTTCCTCATAGGTATATATGTCCAGGAAAATACATGGCACACACACGGTCAGTACCATCTGAGATTTCAGGCATTCACTGGGGTTCTTGGAACATAAACTCTCAGATAAGGGGCGAGTACTTTATGACTGTGACCTAGAAGGTACACATGTCACGTCTGCTCACATTCCATTGACCAGAATGCTGCAGCTTCTGTAGAGGCTGTGGAAGTGGCCTTATTCAGAACAACCATGTGCCCAGCCATGTGCCTGACTCTGGGCAGGACTCTAATGAACCCCTGCTCAGTCCTTCCCTCTTCCTGCTATAGGCCAGTTCCATGGTGTGGGGCCGAGCTCCCCTTCCACAGGGTTCACAGTCTCCCCTCGTTGCAAAACAACACTATGACCTCCCCCTGACAGTCTGGATGCCTCTCTTCCCACAAAGATTCTCCTTGACTGACCTCTAGCCAGGCCCCCTGAGCCCCTTCCCCACTAGGCCTCAGCCTTGGTCTATGAGGACTTGAATGAGCACTAACATAGACTCTAAGAGCTCAAGGCCACATCCCTAGGATGACCCGGGGCAGGACTCTAGTGAACCCCTGCTCAGTCCCTCCCTCTCCCTCATTCTCTCTTCACAGCCTCCAGACACCTCTGTGCAGGTCAAAGGTGGGTTCAGTTCGTGCTGGACTCTTCCCTGTTGCAATGGTGTCTCGCTGGTTAAAATCTGTCCTTATCAGTTTAGGGCCCAGCTTTGTTCCTTTTGACACCTCCCACCATCCTTTCCTGGGTGAGGCTGGATTTCAAGATTTCCCCAAACCCTTCCAGAGGGAAGGTGACTTTGAGATTATGGGATGCCTAAGACAGGACACAAAGCCCCAGCTTCTCAGATTCCACAGTTGCTGCTGCAGAATGATGGAAAAAGAACCGCATGGAGCAACAGCCACATCCAACCCTTCGTGCACGAGCACTGAGGTGAGGCTGAACTGACGCTGCCCTTTTACCTCTTCATGGCTCTTGTCTTAGGTGGAATGTGTACCTTCTAGGTCATGGTCATTCCTCCTGTTTTAGGTGGAATGTGTGTCTCCTGGCTTAGGTGGGGCTGGTGCTGCGGGTTTGCTTGTCTGGAAGTAGTCCTCTCCTGCTGCCTCCTGCAGGTGGTATGGGGGAGGAAGTCCAGATTGTGTCCTGAGAAGGGCCAACCTGCACTTCAAGGAGGGGGGCTTGAGTTCCTTGATGGAAGCAGTAGCTGCAGTTTTCCACATGCCAAGGCAGTAGTTGGCAAGGACCCCCACTGTGATTTGAAAAGTTTCTCTCTGGGTTACCGTGTGCTGTTTGCATGCACACCAGTTGGTTCAGGCATATTATTGCTCACACCTAATATACACCCGGGAGGCCCTCATGTTACCAGGGCTCAGATGAAAGTCACTGGGCCTCACTGGCTGGTGCATCCAGAATGTTTCCTGGCGCTGCTGCTGCCTCATCCCCAGAGCATGGGGACATGCCTTCAGTGTCCTGATTCCTTATAACCCCCAAGACCACCAGGTGAGATGATCCTACAGAGCATTTCTGAGGCTAGGAGGGCATCATTCTTAGGGGAAGACTTATATGGTCTTAAGTTTAGGGTACTGGTTAGCTCTTCACAGTGCCTGCCCCACAAAGAATGAAAATAGGTTCGTGGGTTTGGGAGAAAAAGGAGGGTGTTTCTGGGATGGCAATTCTATTTTTTTCAGTTTGAAGACTGAGTTGGACATGTTGGCGCACATCTGTAATCTCAGCATCTAGGAAGTCTGAGGCAGAAGGATCCTGAATTCAAAGCCAGCCTCAGCAACAGTGAGGCGCTTAGCGACTCAGTGAGACCCTGTCTCTAAATAAAATACAAAATAGGACTGGGGATGTGGCTCAGTGTCAATCGCCACTGAGTTCAATCCCTAGTACCCCCCCCCCCAACAAGCAAAACAAAAAAACCCAAAAAACTGAAGTCTGAAAGTATGGGAGAGAGGGACTGGAGGTTTGAAGTGGTTGGAAAAGTTACAGATTCTGCTTATTGAATCTGCTGTCTATTCCAGATTCAGACTGTTGCGATATCTGGATAGGAAAACTAGGGTAAATCCAGGTGGGAAAGTCACCAGAGTCACTCCCTGACTCGCTCCTCCAGAGCAGGCTCCTAAACCCCAGGAAAATCCCCTTAGGTAAACTCGAGGAGGCTGGATCTGCAGATTCTCCTCCCGCTGCTGTCTGAGCTTGGCGATTCGTAGAGCCCACAGACTGACAGGTGGCACAGCCAATGGGGCAGGCCGCCGAGAGATTCCAAGGCCGGGAGCAGTTGGTGCGGAAGGCAGAGCTTTCCAGTTGAGCGCGAGGCGGCGTTTAGGAAAGGCCTGGGAGGGTGGTTCGGCGGGATCCAGTCCCCGAGAAGTTGGGCCTCGGAGTGAGATCCCAGGCTTGTACTCACCGTGAGTTTGACACATGGTTTTGGGACTTTTGACTCTGTACAGCGACCTAACTGGCGTTTTCAGCCACAAAACTGTTGTTGAAAAAGAAAACAAAAATTGTTGGAACACCAACGATTTCATCGGGCAGGTGAGGGTGGAAGGAATCAGGGCGGCTGCTACCCCTTCTTCCCTGTTGCGCGGTGGACGAGAGCCATGACCGTGTAAAGCAGGAGAGGTCCCACATTCAGGCTGCTGAGTTGGACAGTTCTGGTTTATAAGCTTGGCACCTGTGTTCACGCAACTACACGATTGAGTGAACTCAGTTGACTTACTTGACCATTGTAAATTTCCACTCATCTGTAAAATAAGAATAATTAAGATTAACTAAGGACTGGATGTGATAATGAGCTCCTAATTATCAGTGCCTGGCACATAGTAAATGCCCAATAAATGTATTGTGCCTACCCTGTGCCCATTTACTTCTTTGGCACTTTTATGTGCTTCTCCACCCTCCTTGGCAGGTGGGTGGATAGCCCTTCACCCACCAGCTCATTTTGAAGGCTGCCACTCATGGTTCCTGTGCATGATCTGCTAACATATGAATGATCCTTAAGGGGTAATTTTTAAATATTGCTGAGAGAATGTACCTAAGAAACTCTTTAGCCCTAATTGTGATCTTTTGTTCAATAAAAACAACATAAGAAAATCCATAACACAGACAGAAAACATAAGATGTTGACAAGGTTGTGGAGAAATAGGAACCCTGTACATGGTTAATGGGAATGTGAAATGGTGCAGCTACTATGGTAAGGCTATGGAAATTCCTCAAGAAATTAGATGTGGATTACTCTATTATGCAGAAATTTCATTTCTGGTTATATACAACAAAACAACAAAAACAGGGACTTGAACAGATGTTTGTACACCCATGTTCATAGCAGCTATATTCACATTAGGTAAAGGGTGAGAAAAACTCAAAGTGTCCAGCAGCAGATGAATGGACGAGGAGAAGGCCATCTGTGTATGCAGGGGAATGTTATTCAGCTCTTAAAGGTAATTCTGACCTATGCTCTAATGTGAATGAACCTTGAAGATATGCCAAGTGAATAGCTAGTCACAAAAGAAAAAATACTGTATAATTTCACTACATGACGTACTAGAATAGTTTAATTTGACTACTAGAAACAGAGCGGTGCTTTGTAGGGACTGAGAAAGGTGGGGTGGGGGATGAAGAGATGGTATGTAATGGAGATAGTTTTTATTTGAGAAGATGAAAAAGTTCTAGAGATGGATGGTGGAGATGATTACATATTTAATGCCACAAAATTGTACACTTGAAAAATGGTTCAAATGATTTTTACCATTTTACCACAATAAAAAAGCACCTTTTTAAAGTACTCTAAGCCTCGCCTTTAATGACTGGGGGGTCCTGTCAGATGTAAGAATATGTGTAAGAGAGGACAATTACCCAAGTTAAGCTAATGAGAACATTGCAAAGGCTTCTTCCCCTTCTGTAGAGATGGTCTATCTAATCCACAGGCACAGGCTTGCCATATTCAGGCAGTGCATAATGGCCAACGTTGTTATTACTGTAGATGAAGAATGGTCATAAATCCACTCTGAAGAGCTGCAGTCAGAAGTCGTGTGCACCATCAAGAAAGATGAGGGGGTGTTCCACCTCTTTCCTCTTTACCATTAGGAAATTTCCTGGTAAAGATGTGAAGTGTAGACTGCCATAGGACACCTAGAACAGCCAGACCGAGGGAGAATTTTGAAATTTGTTTGTTCCTTTCCTCCTTCATTTGTCACATATAATTAGGTTCTTACTAAATGCAATTCTCTGGGCAGGCTAATATGGATCTGCAAATGTGAAGAAAGTTTAATTCCAGACTCTGAAGCTTGTCTCATAAGAAGAGGTGAGGTCTGCACTTGTGATTTTAACAAGTTGGGCTGTGTGGAGGCCAGAGGTGGACAGACTTTACTGTAGGCTGCCACAGAGAGGCAGGAAGAACCACATCATGGGCCTGCACCTGCTGCTTGTCCAGGGTAGTTGTAGGCTTGAACCTGAGAGCTGGGGAGGGATCTAAAACCGGAGCAGGGCTTAGAATCCCTGGCAACTGTTCTCACCTTCTGACCCTGTCATCTCCTTGCTTTGCTTTCCTCCCTAGGGTGCTGTCAGAGTTCTGGTCTCAGATTCCGTGGATGCCCTGAGAGTCTGAGGACATGGCTGCAGCAGTGGTGGCTGGACTGATTCCAGTGTTATACTCTGTGGCTGCTGACAAATCTGGCTACTACATTGGGCGGCAGCTCTGGTTTGGCCTAATGGCCATGTATGGTGTGGTGGTGTATGTGGTCAACCTGCCCTGGATCCACATCCGGAAAGATTTCTGGTGCCATGGCAACATCACCTATTCATGTGTGATTGAGTGTTTTGAAACGAGTTTTAGTGAAGCTGTAGTGGGGACTTGGTACTTGTTTTATTTCATTTTCCTAACCCTCTTTTTCCTTTTGGAAATCTTTTTGGCTCAGATCCGTCATAAGCACTCCAGGGTGAAGTCTGTGGTGTCAGCTACAGAAGTAGAGGAGGGATCTCTGATGGGAATCCAGGAGGAGGTCACCTGTTCAAAGAAATCCACTGTGGACTTCCACCGGGAGAAGATGCTATTGCTGTTATACCTCCTTCACTTTCTCCTGCAGATCGGTGTCCAGTGTGTGTTTTTATATTTTCTCATGTACCGACACCTGCCCATGGTGATGAATAGCATCATATACTGTGGCTCGGAAGAATGCCCTGGCCCCTATCTCTGTCTGATCAGGGACATCTCAGACAAGCAGATGTCCATCTATACTCTGCTCACCTTGTCCTTGGCGATCATCTTTCTTTGCTTAGGTTTCTTTGTGTACAGCATTCACCATTACCTGCTGAAGGGCCTTTCCATTAACAAGCTGTGGATTGATTAACATTTGAGAAATAGTGCCCTTTCAGGCAAAGCTATTCCTCCCTCCTCTAAATTTTATATTTGAGCCAGGGACCCCTCCTGCTACATTTCTTGGTTTTTTTTTCCTCTTGTAAATAATAAACATTTGCTGTTCTTATTTCCTCTCTGTACATCCAGGCTGAGGCTGTCTAACTATGGGGTGGGTGGGTGGTATGCAATTGATAACATCACTGAGATCTTTAGTGTTTGTTATCTAATTGGCTCTCACCCAAAGCCTGACAGTGAACTTGGGACTTCATTCTTCATCTTCTAATGGTGTTAGCTTTATTTATTGGTACTCTGGCCTCTCCAGTATTGTCTCTTCTCTAAAGGAAAATTCTTAGCTGGACTTGCAGGGTGAGTCCATCCTGAGGCCCCCCCCCAAGCTCCTAGTGAGGGCTCAGTCCAGCCACCTTACACTGGTCTCCAGCAAGAACTTAATAAGTTTGGTTGATTTCTGTGGGAGGGAGGACAGGTGTGGCTAAGGTGGTATCAGGGTACCACGATTGTGCCTTCCTCCCAGACCTGGCCTGCCTATCTGGAGACACACCAGCTTAGCCCACAAGGTGCTATTAACCATCTACAGGGGCTCCTGTTTGCAAGCACAGGGGGTTTGACCAGATGCAGCTAAAGCTCTTCTTATTTGGGGGAGGGCAAAGATGGGGACCAGAGTGAGGACTCTGCAGTGAGGTCTGGTTAGTTACCTCATCCTGTTATAAGTGAATCACCCCAAAATTTGATGACCTTTCTTTGCCTGAGACTTGGGTTCCCCAGAGGCTGAGATGTGGAGCAGTTCCAAGAACTGGCCTTGCTGGTGACGCAAGTGACACATGTGGTGTTCCCATGTCACCTAGTTGAAGGTGGTTGGAATTCTCCTCTGGTGCGGTCATGGTCCTGAAGGCTGACTGTGGCATGCCAACCCCGAGATGGTCCCCAAGATGCCTCCTGTGCAGGCAGGGATTGTGACTTGCTTGTAACCCAAAGAATGTGATGAAGGATGTCACTCCTGTGATTATTAGGTAGCAGTTTCTCCTTTGATGACTGACAAAATAATCTGCCGGGTTCTGAGGGCCTATGGAGGGAGTCACAGGGCATGGAACGGCAGGCCCTGTAGGCTAAGAGCTCTGCCCACTAGCACCACTGACAGCCAGTAGAAATGGGGACCTTGGTCACACAACTGCAAAGGAACAGGCTTCTGACAAAAACTTTAAAGTGAATTCTTTGAAGTGCATTGTCCTCTGGATGAGAACATGCCCACTTGGGACTTGGTTTAACTTAGTGAGACCATAGGCAGAGGATCCATGCTTGGGTTCCTGACCCATGAAAACTTGACATGATATATGCATGTTGTTTTAAGCTTCTAAGTTTGTGGAAACTTCTTGTACAGCAATAGAAAACTAACACATTGACTCCGGGACCCCCACATGGTCCAGGAGCCAAGGGAAACTTGGTCTGGGCATGAAGTATCTGTGGAGAGGATTTTCTTTCATCTCAACAATTCTCCTTTGCCTTCTCTGGCAGCTGACCTGGCCACACTGTAGGAGGCCTGAGCAAGTCTTAGCAGTGAGTGCCAGAGACTGAGACCACTGCTGCTCCAGCCCTTCCCCGGGTTAGAATGCTCCTGTGTAGGCCAGTCCCAGGGCAATGTTGACCATCCCCAATAGAACCAGCCTGCTCTGCATTTGGGTCAGCAAGGGGGACCTGAGGTCCCAGCACCATACAAACAAGTTATCTGCTAGATTCACCAACCTCATCAGGCACAAGGCTCAGCAGTTGGAACCTCATGATGCCACCTTTAATGCTCATTCTTTGAAGGGCCTCTTCATGCACCAAGTCACCTGCATAACTGTGTGCAGGACCCTATGAGCCCCCTTTTTGAAACTCAGGTTTGCAGGAAGGCCAGCATCCTGTAGGACCCAGTGCACTTCTGGAGTTATGAGGAAGAGGGGTTGCCTCTCAGATCTGAAGGGTGTTTTGGGGTGAATCATAGCCAAGAGTTGCTATATACCCAGGGCCTACAAAGAGTTGCTGGCAATAACTTGGGCTCAATGAATACTTTTGGGGTGCAAGGAGTAGAACCACATACTGGTAGGATAATCTGTTGACAAATCCTGAAAAAATCAAGTCTTCTGGCAAAGGAGAAATGTTTACTGGACCCAGCTCCATTCTCCAGCACAGGTGGAGAAAGGGCAGATTTAGAGCTGAGAACCAATAAATTGATAATTGATAGCCTACCTTTTTGGCTACTCAGCTTTTATACAAATCCTTGTAAACATATTTGAGCTTCCAAACAACAATGAAACATGCTGCAGGTTCCTTAGTACACATGACATAGCCCTCTTATTCTCCCCAAAAGGTGATAACCTAGTTCCCAAAGACATTATGTCCATTGGTGGCTATATTCAGTCTTTCAAGTTTAGTCATTCCTATTGAAATCTTTGTTAGCTAGTAACTATTGCAAAGTCCATCTTCAACCATTTATCAATAAAACAATAAAGGAAGAAAATAGTTACTATATAAACTACATGTGTACAAACACAAATCATGCAGAGCTCCCACATCCTTGTAATTAGTCATGAGGACATAAGGTCACAGTTGGTCTCTTCTCTGCCTCAGTCTGAAGTTTAACTAGATGCAATTCTCATTCTGGTGGTATGATTCAAGCCATCATTGTGAAGGGCCCAAATCCTCAAGTCTTGACTTTTTCTTTGGTTTATTTGCTGTAGTTTTCAATTAGCCTTTACTATTGTGCATGGAAAGCAGATGGGGTTCCAGATACAATTCTCCTTGTCCCCCGCTGTGGTGCAACACAGTGATCAGTTGTAGATCAGTCACTGCTGCCAGTGGAGTAACCCCCTTCTGCCTGCTGATTTGGTAGCATAGGAGCCCCAAGTGGCTAAGTGATGGTCTCAGCTTCCATATCCACAGAACCATTGTTGTATCCTTCAGTTCTCCCCTGGGAACTGTGACCTCCCAACCAGAGGAGTGTAAGGTTGCTGAATGGGAAGGAAAAAGTTCTGCTAATGTTTTATTAGGTATAATACTGAGAGGAGCTTCTCTGTCTTTCACCCTTTTATTCCCAGAAAAATATATTCTGACTATAATAAAAATATATTCAGCACCATAAGCGAACACTGATTCGGAGCAGATGCTGCAGTCATAAGACAGACCCCATTCTTCCCAGGTGCTGTCTCACCGTCGACACTGTGACAGCGCTTTCAGTAAGCCAGCCACCACTGGCTTCTGGGCGAGGGGGACTGTGGTGAGATTCCATGGGCATGAGCTATTGCCACGCTTTCTTTGCTGTGAGTTTTTTTCCTTGATTAAACACGATTCTAGGAGAGAACCAGGATGGTGAATGGGACAGTTCAGAGTCCACTGATGGTGCTGGTAGAAGCATCATAGGCTGTTTACCTTCAGAGAATGCATCTGCTCTAGTGAGGACAAATCTCTGTTCTCTCAATGGTAGAAAAGGTCCAATAAAATCACTTGCCATCAGCTGACTGGCTGGTTTCCTGGGGGAAAGGCTCCATGTGGGCCTCAGTGTTGGAATCTTCTGTTGGCTGATGAGGCACTCAATGAGAGCAGTTCCAAGTTCAGTGGGGAGGCCATATTGTGGGGCCCCTGAGTCGCCTCCATCCCAGCCACCATGGCCACTTTGTTCCCAGGTCCACTGAGCAATTAATGGGATGCCTGGGAAAAGAAGATGACTTGCAGGGGGTGTGTCATTTTGTCCACTTGAGCATGCATGTGGGAAAATTGCTGTGCCAATTCTGAGAGGGGCCTCCATATCCTGCTCCTTCCAAATCCCTGATAGTCCATCCAGGCTGTCAACAACTGCTTGTGAGACATTTAAATCTTTACTTTGGATCATCTCTCAGTCCAGTTAAGTGAACAAACATATGGGTTAAAATCCTGCCCACCTGAGGTTTTTGTTTTATCCCTTCCCTCTCCACCCAGAGGGTCATCCCTGAGTGAGCCTCTTATGCTAAGGTGCCTACTTTTGTGTGGTCAGTATATCATGCCACCCTATCTGCCTCCAGTTCTTCAATCCTTAGGAAACTGGTCTTGAGGAATTCCCCATGAAGCCTTAGACCTCAATTGAAGGAGAAGACTTAATGTAGGAAATGTCAGTGTCCAAGGAATCAATGATTGGCTCACATGATTACATGTATCGCAGAGCTCCGTGAGCTCAGATTTTATCGACAGATTGCCACAGGGCACATCCAATCTGATGATGAACATAAGATGACAGAGTTCATGAGGGAAGCTCAGCCTGCGTGGCCACCTAACATCCTTTGACTGGATGTTTAATCTCTTGCAAGAGCCTGTAGCAAGCCAGAAAGTGTTCTCAAAAGGAGAATAATCATCTGCAGGAAAGGATATGAATGTGTATTTGTAAAAATCTGAGAGGGTTACATAGTGATTATTCTACTGGTGCTTGACAGACGCCAAGCATTTTATTATTTCCATAGGAACTTAGGAAATCATAGTGTCAGTAGGAAAATAAGTGGAAGAGTAGCTTGTATCGCAGCCTGGATTTGCTATAGGGCTCTCCCTTACTCTAATCCTACTCAATTTAATAATGTCAGGTATTTTTTTTTAAAACAAAGTTTGGCATTTATTTATAAAATCAAACAACATTTACTTGTTCATCAGTCTTGCTCTTAGATATTTAGTTTAGAGAAATGAATGTTTATGGTCACACAAAAGTCTTTACATGAAAGTTTATCCATAATTGCCCCAAACTATAAACAGCTAAATATCCTTTAGCTGGTATATTCAAACAAATCATAGTAGATCCATACAATAGAATCCTACTTAACAATAAAAAGAAATGAACTATTGCTGAATCTCAAATGTATTATGCTAAGCTGAATGAGCCAGATTCCAAAACCAGCATCCCATATTATTCCATTTAGACATAGACATCCTTGAAAAGGTAAAACTGCAGGGTGAGAGAGCAGATCACTGGTTTCCAGGGTGAAGGGTGGAAGAAGAATTTACTTCAAAGGGACAGAATTGAAAGAGTGTAGAGAAAAAAAATGGAGGGAAATGGAACCATATTTTGGTCTTAATGGTTGTTCCATGACATTTGACAAAATGCACTGAATTGAATACCAAAAGGCAT